CTCGGAAAAACAGGGTCTGTAAATGGGGACAGTATGGGGCATATGGAATCCCAAATTTGCAAAAGACTGACTGATTAATAATTTCCATTGAAATCATTAGCATTGTATCAAATTTGCCTGCATGATCTGAATTACAAAAAACAAAACAAAACTTTATTCTCTAAATAAAGGGTTGCTTTTTTAAAAAAAAGCCTAGGGCTGAGGTACAAGCATGAATATAATTTACCAGCAGAAATCCTGGTACCATTAAATTGCTGGAAGGATGAAACATTTTTGCAAGCTGAAAAAGTTATGAAATATAATTTCCCTTTCATGAGAATATGACATTACATTGAAACATAGAAAGGGACAAACTGAATAATAGATACTAATTAAAGCTTGGTAGTTATACTGAGAACACCAGTTATTGCAAATTTTAAATCCCTTCTATGAGTCAAATACTTTTATTCCACGTTATATTTAAAATATACAATTTTAAAGAATGCCAGGGCCATTAATTTTTTTTACTAAAACTGTCTTAATTCTTTACAAAAGATTAATTAGTAGAAGATGTTCATTTTCTTTTTGATGCCCAAAGGAGCAGGTTATCGAAATGTAGCCCTTGCTTGGGTTTACTTTTTTATTTATTTTTTTCCCTTCAAATTGGAAACTGATTTATGGTGACCCTGTAGGGTTTTCAAGGCAAAAGATGTTCAGAGGTGGCCAGCCGGCCTCCGCATAGCAACCCTGTACTTTCTCACTGGGCTCCCACCGAAATGTTAAGGGGGTGACCCTGCTTAACTTCTGAGATCTGACAAGATTGTGCTCTCCTGGGCTCTCCAAGTCAGGACACACTTATTTACTTTACTTATTATTTTGCCACCACCTTTTATTGTCACACATACACACACAGCTCAGCATATTTTGGTCTGAGGAGCTTATTAACTGATTGAAAGTGAGTCTTACGAGTTGCAGCATGTGACAGTCAAAGAAAATGTTTAAGTGAATGAAATGGCATAGAAAGTGATGGAATGTAGCAAAAACCAAGGAAATAATTATTATGTGCAGCATGTCAAAATTTTGTAATGAAATCCTTATCCTTAATAAGATTAACTGTGAACTAAGAATACTACTAAGAATAAGATTAACTGTGAACCCTTATTCTTTCACTGCTATGGTTAGAGAGGAGTTTGGTCAGTAAGGGTTAGAGTGGTGAAGATCAATTATAAAGTGTATAATGCATGATATTGTAGAATTGTACTGTTCGAACCCTGGGAATAAGTGTCTATACTTAACTCAATCTAAAGCTCTTGCCTTTCAGCAGCAAGACTATCTGCAGTGCTAGATAGGGTGTCTAGACTTCCTTTTGTGGGTTTAGGGTACAGCAAGTTCTTACCTAAACTTTCAGCTCTTTCCTCTACAGGATAACAAGAAGTTGCAGTTGTGTTCGTCTGATTTTATCTTCCAACAAGGCAGGGCAGTTAGCTGTTCGTTTCCTGATAGCAAAGAAACAGTTCTTTATCACTAACCTTTGAGTGGAGTTTAAAAAACAAAAACCAGCTTCAATGTATTTGTTTCAGAAAGAAGCAGTGACTTAGTGCTTTGCATGCAGAAAGTTCCAGGTTCAATCCCCAGCATCTCCACTTAAGTTAAAAGGATCAGATAGTAGTGATACCTTTATCGGTGCTGCTAGACAAGAGTAGACCATACCAAAGTTAATAAACCAGTGGTCTGTTTGTCACAGTAGAAGGCAGCATCATTTGTTCATGTAATGTGTGTATAATATGTTTGCCAAACCAAATAGGTAGTCATTGGAGGAAAGGTAAGCAGCAGTTCACAAGCAAGGAAGTATTTACACGCTTCTCTTATGACAATGGCAGTAGTCTTGAGTGTTATGCATGTCTAAGTGTTATGCATCTCCTATTACAAAGAACAAAGTTTGAGTCCAGAGGCACCTGGACTCAAACCTTGTTCTATTGCTTCAGACCAACGTGGCTACCCACCTGTATCTGTCCTCATATTTCATAGTTCTTAAAGCGTCTTGAGTGAATTAAACCTTGCCTGAAAAAGCATTTCACAAATTTCAAGGGGGAGGAGTTAGATTTTTTTTTAAGTTCCTCCCAAAGGCCTCAGGGACAAGGAGAAACATAAATTAAAAACAACAACAACCAGATTTCTGTTTGAATTGTTCAAGGCTTTCATTTCTGTATCTCCAGGCAATAAGGTATCATAGCTCACATTAAGGAAATGTTTGTGTGTCAGAGAGAAGGAAGAAAACTCACCCTTCAGACAAAAGAGGCTTTTTTATTAGCAGGAAACTGTGTGTGTGTGCTCCACTTTCAGTTCGGGTGAGAAAGTTTAAGGTCAGTTATGGGCAGGGGTCTTGTTGTAGAAAAAGAGCTGCCGGAGCTCATTAGCATAACTCATTAGCATAACTTATTTGCATATGCCACGCCCCCTGACATCACCGGAAGTGACAGAAGGCCACACCCCCTGACATCACCGGAAGTGTGTCAGAAGGCCCGGCTACTTACCCTCCTGCTTCATCCTCATTCCCAAACGGAATGAGGATCGAAGCAGAGGGCGGGGTAAAGAAGGGGGCGGGACTTCACCACGTGACCGCCCCGCCCCCTAGAGGTTCTCTTCCGGAGCTCCGTACCTGAGAGCTCCCCCCCGACTAGAGCCCTGGTTATGGGGGCTGTTCAATGGAAGTTGGGTTAAATTTACGGTTGGGTTACGGTTGAGCTAAATTTAAGTAAAGGTGGGTTAAATTTAAGTTTATTCTAATTGGCCCAAGTCTTTCTGTGCATACTTTCTGTTTTTCACATGTAGTGTCTCAGTTTAGGGTACATCAATCTCCAGTTCTGACATATTTATTACCTATGTTGTTTTTTTCCCCCAGGTGAACCAAAACAGATGATAACCAGAAACCAAGCTTGTCATTCTTTTTAGCTGTTTAGAAACACTTCACTATTTTGCATGCTAATTTAACAAGCCACCTTGTATATGTACAAGTATGATCTGTAATTCCATTTCATTGTCTGATGAATGAAGTATGTGTGCACATGAAAGCTCACACCTTGAATAAAACTTTGTTGGTCTTAAAGGTGCCACTGGACTCTAACTTTGTTCTGTTGTTTCAGACCAACCCAGCTGCCCACTTTGATCATTGTATACTGTGAGCAACATGATTTTCTCACTATATTACATAGACAGTGTTGATGTTTTAGATCCCTAGTATACAGTATTATCTTTCTAATTGGTGGCCAGCCAGTGGCATTGATTTGGCAACCCATGCTACTGGAGGCAGGTGTCACTGGTAATTCCTTTTGTTCCTTCTTAGGAGTGCCAAAGTTGGACCTACATTATTGTCTGCTCCCTGATTTAGTAAATTTGAAACAAAAGCAGAAAAGTGGCACTAACTCTGGTCAGATTTAACCTGTGGCACATTTGCCAAAGAAGTAGATGTCATTGGTCATTCAGCAGATTGCACAGTTCTTGTTTTTTGGAAAAAGCTGAAGGGAACTCGATGGAAAAGAAGTCGGTGGGGCGGGGTTTGGTGAGTATTGTGTGTATGCTTGCAAGCCTGGAAATCGTGGTGGCTTCTGATGACCCCTAGTGGGGCCAGGACATTTCAGAGAGGTGGCTTGATAACCTGCCTCTGTGTCCTGGCTCTGGTATTCCTTGGAAGTTCTGAGATCTGATGTGACTGGGCACTGTCATATGTTGACATGATATACTGCCCATTTCCCTGTGTAGATAACCCCAATAAACATTAAAGATTATTTTATCAGTTGGGGGGGGGGTGGAGATTAAGAGAAAGTGGGGGCAGTGAGAGGGTAGGAGGAAGAGTTGAGTTGGAAAAGAGTGGCAATGGGAGGGTGAGGACTGAGGAAGTGAGGTCCAGCAGGGGTGGTAGAATTTTCCCTCCTCTCCCCTACAAGTGGCTTGTGGGTCCCCTGCTTTGCACCAAAAGACGTGCAAAATGAATTTTAGCTTTTACATGAATTCCAGTTCACTTCAGGTTGAGCAGTTTACTCATAAAGACCGGCAGAGAAGATGGTGTAAATGGGAAGGAGCAAAAGTACTAAATCTTGACTCCTCAGAGGTTGCAGCCAGAGCTTCCAAGTTCATGAGTCAAAGCTCACATCATTGGATATCTGATGATGTGATCTCTGATATACAGAAGCTGTTGGTCTTTACGGTGCTACTGGACTCAAATTTGGTTCTACTTTTACAGACTAATACAGCTACCCTCCTGAAACTATCTTCTTTGAATACTATGTCTGTTTCTTGTATCTGTATATGTGTATTTATTTTTATCCCACTCCCACCCCCCCGTGAGAGTTCCCTCAGGAAAACCAAAAGTTCTCCCTTTCTTGATTTTATCCTGAGTCTGTGACTGGCCCAAGGTCACCAAGCAAACTTCCATGGCAGAGTGGGGATTCAAACCTGGGTTTCTCAGATCCTAGTCTGACATGCGAACTTGTACTCCATGCTGGTTTCAAACTGTATAATTTTAAGACTCTGAAAGCCATATGTTAAAGGGGTGAAATCATTCTTTTCATGAGCTTTCCACATCAGCAATCTTATAACAGGCTGTTTGATTTTTGATGGGATGTATGTGTGGATTTCTTCCCCTTGGAGTACTTGATGTGATAGATTTGTTTGTATGAAAGTGGTTTTTAACAATGGCACGTACTTATTTATTTGTTTTAAAGCTCCACCAGAACCCTTCAGTATTTCACATTTAGTGTTTGAAGAGGACAAAAGATATAATATTGTGAGATGGGAGATTAGTTGAGTCATATCCTTTATAAGCTGTGAAGCAACTGTATTCACACTTGGCGATTTCCTCTTATAGTCACTCCCAGTGACTGCAGTTCAGAGCAGCAAGTAATGTGCAAAGAAGCCCTTGCTGCTAGCTGGAAGCAAACGGTGTTGTTAACTGATAGTCTGTTGATAGGACTAATTTGGAGGCTGAATGGATGCATGTGAAGCCAGCATTTTTATCTGAAAACAAGAACAATGTTACCATTTGAGCAAGATAAGGTAAGGGTGGTTCCCCGCCCCTGGTTTGTCTCAGTGTCCTCTAGTGGATCTCAGGATGGAGAACCAGTGCAAAACCCACATGGGTGTGATTCTTTAATAAGAGCAACGGAAACTATTTTCAAACTGTTAATTCCATGATTTTTTAAAGTACTGTTTTCACAGTCATCCAATTAAAATAATCAGAACATGAGGAGCACCTGTTCTCTGTAGCTTATTGAGAGTTTCAGTAAGTTACAAGATTTGCCATAAAGATTTTTTCTTTACTATTGATTTAAGATCATGAAGATAGAGTTCTTATGATGAAGTGGTAAAATAGCAGATTGTAGCAATGTCTTCAGCTGTCTGTGTTGAGAGACTTGTTAAATACTTGTCATAATTTTTAAATGAATAAAGTATCTAAATATGTAAATTCTTGATAGATATGCCTGATACATATAAAAGTGTAAGTTTCTCAGCGCTCAAAGACTGCTAGTAAAACTAACACAAAATTGCTTTTCGTATGCTCCTGCAAATCTGTTGCAGATCACCCTTTTAAGGTTACACAGCAGCTGGATTTTATAAAAATAAAGTGCCAGTTTAACTTTAAGACTGTGTAGCAAACCTTTTGCTTCTGTAATTTATATTAGCATTACTGAAATCCTGCTCTTTTCCTAAGAACACAAAGGAAAGTGCATGTGGTAAATTTAGAGGGGAGAAGTGCTTTATCTTTTTAAAGAGTTTGTGTATTCAATAGCATTGGAAAAGTTTTAATATTCGATCCAGCACTAGTAAGATGATACTTGATAGAAAATGAAGCTATATAATTGTGAATATTTTGAGCACTTGCGAATTAAAGCATTTTGTTTTCTCTTGTTTGAAATAATGATTTGTAGAGTATTGAACAGCACTGAGGAAAAGCACAAGATTCTAATGTCTAGTTTTGAAATTCTGCCGATAAGCTTCATTTTTTGCAACAAATTGTAATTAAATGCTTGCAGACCCTTCTCTCTTTGTTTTAATGCTGATTAAATTTTTGGAACCTGTTATATAAGAGTTCTGCAGCAAGAAATCTATCTTGATTAGCAGAACTATAAGATATGCTTAATGAGGTTTTTTAGTCTTTTATCTCAAGTGAATTTCAAAGCTATTGGGTAGAAAACATGCTTGTTTTTAAATTAATTATGCTTAGTTGCTGTTTTCACTACATAAACATTGCATGCCTGTGTGTGTGATAAATTTTTGTATAACATTGTAAATCCCTTGAAGTCAGTGGGCTTAGAAGGGTGTAACTCTGTTTAAGACTGCACTGAGATCTGCTTAAATGACAGTATGTGCTGGGTCACAATTTTCTTCAAGGGTCTTCTGGAGTGGTCAGCTGTTCACGGTTTGAGCATTTTAAAAGAAGGGGCTCCACTGTTGTATGATTGTTCCTTGAGCTGAAATTGAAACATGATTAACAGTGCAGCTGCTTCATACAGTACCAGTTTTCTAATAAACTTCTTGTTTACTCTTATTTATAATAAATTATGTAGCAATTGTAAGACTGTTCCCAATCACAAAGTGTGAGTGGTTGGAATGCTACAAGTTACTAAAAGCTAGAAGCAGCTGTTGAAAATCATAATTCTGGAACCCTTTAAACTCAAACATGTGCCCCCCCTTAGGATTCCTCTCTCACCTGCAGTATACCTGAAGGGGATTGAGAACATGATTAAATCTGTTTGCATATGCCAAATTGTGATCATATGGATAAGCATTTCAAACTTCCTTGCAAAGATGGAGGGATTTCAACAACTCATGTGTGCACTGCTGTTTGATAGCTATTGATAAAGCTTAAACTGTTTTTGTGGGCTGTGCTTCACTGGCTTGGGGCTCAGGGGCTGGTGGTTTCATAATACAATTCTGATTACCCTTCAGGTGGCTTGGTAAGGATTGGTATCAGAGGGTAGTTCTAATGCTATGTTGTATATATATCCTGCTAATCTGGGCCATCGTTTTTGGAGGAGGAGAGTAATATTTTTTCAACCCAAGTCAGTCTCCCACATAAGATTGTCATATTTTAAGATTGTAAACTAGATATTCTTGTGGTACAGTCCAACGTAAAAGAGCAGAACACATCAGGAAATGTCTTATCTGCTGGCTGTTGCCCCAGAAAAAGCTCTGGGTTAAGAGACGCGCTTTTGAGACCACCCCCCTATGAATTCTTGGGCCTTGTGTTGTGTGAGATTGCTCAAGGATCAAGGTTTTATATGAAAGAGCCAGTGTGGTATAATGGTTAGAGTGCCAGACTAGGATACCAAATGCAAGACTAGTTGTTTCCCAGGTATGCCATCAAAAAAGGGTGTGTGTGTCTTACATTTGCATACAAGTTAATTATATCCAGCACCAGTTTGCCAGTAGGACTTAAGATCTGCCAGTAGACCCCAAAATTCAACCCAGTGGTATTATGCCTCAGGAGTAAATGTCCAGGTAAAAACAGTATAAGGGTGGCATCCTGGCATAGTTCTCCATTCTAGACTCTTCCTCTGCCTCTACAGGACAAGGCTTTTTGATGGTGTAAAGGTTCAGTCCCCTTCCCAAGACTGCCCCAACACTGATGAAATGACTTGCCCAGACCTCACTGCTTTAGAACTTCACTAACTAACAGAAACTGCTGGATCAGACAACATAGGAAACCTTTTCTGCTTCTCTAAATCTCTTCTCTCCTTCTTCGCCTGATCTTCCTTCCTCTGCTGTGCCAGTAACAGAGGTACCTCATCTCTCCCTTCTGCCCAGTGGGTTGTAGGGATCATATCACTTCAGTCTTGTTGCATCAAATTACACTGGCTCTCAATTTGCTTCCAGGCACAATTCAAGGTGCTGGTGTTGACCTCTACAGCTCTATGTGACCTAGGGCCAGCATACCTTTAAGGACCACCTGCATATGGTCCACCCTGGTCATCTTCTGAGACCCTGCTTCAGGTACTTCTGCCATCTGAGGCTAGATGGGTGGCAACCCAAAAAAGGGCCTTCACAGTCATGGGGCCAAAACTTTAGAATTCCCTCCCCAGGGAGATTTGTCATTCTCCTTTTATCATTACATGCTATTCCATCACGAGAGCCAACATGGTGTAGTGGTAAAAGTGTCAGACTAGGATCTGGGAAATCCAGGTTTGAATTCCCACTCATGCCCTGGAAGCTTGCTGGGTGACCTTGGGCCAGTCACATTACTCTCAGCCTAGCCCGGACCTGGATAGCCCCGGATAGACTGATCGTGTCAGATTGCAGAAGCTAAGCAGGGTCAACGTGAAGGCAAGCAATGGCAAACCACCTCCAGATATCTCTTGCCTTGAAAACCCACAGGGTCGCCATAAGTCAGCTGTGACTTGACAGCAAAACAAACACATTTCATCACTCCACTCATTTATTTATTTATTTATCCTTCAATTTGTATACTGCTCACCCCCTAAGAGCTCTGAGCGGTGCACATATTCAAATATAATCAATCCTTACCTAGGGCCACACACATACATTGGGGAGGTGACTAGCCTAACAGGCACCCTCTAGCGCGTCTTTTTTGTTGTTGTTATCTGCGGAAGATCTTCCTAGTCCGGCGGCGACGTCCTCCTGGCGTAGGTCATCTCTCGGCTGCCTGCAACTTCTTCGAGCCTTGGCCGAGCGCACGCAAGCGCGTGCTCGCTGCTGGCCTCTGTCCAGTAGGCTCCGGCCTGCTGCGTTGCCCTGCCTCCACGCTTGCTGGCCCAGCCTCTGCCCGCCGCTCGACTTGCCAGCCGCTGCCATGCTCTCTGCCGCCACGCCACGAGGGACGGGTGCCCCCCTGCTCTAGGAACAGGTACCCATTTGTCTACTTGCCCTTTAACAGGCTTTCGAGCCGCTGGGTAGGCGGGAGCTGGGACATAGGGCCGGGAGCTCACCCCGGCCACGGTGGGGCTCGAACAGCCAAAGCTGTTCGGCCAGATGGAAACGCAGGCTTCATTTACCGCCTGCGCCACCGCTCCACTCATGTTCTGAGCAGGCACTCAGGAGGGCTTCTGTTCTCCATTTTGAAGGAGAACTGACCATCCCAAACATCTACAAGGCATTTTTGAGAGCTAGGAGTCTGCATTTGTACTAACTTTTACTAATGTAACACTAGCCATAAACATCACAAAATAGTGATTGCAAGCTTCACCAGACGGGATGTTAAACTTTACATAGTCTGGTTTCCTTAGAATTTCTTTGCCCACACTTATTGTTTCATTGCCTTGGTTACTTTTTTCATTGTTTGCTTGTAAGGCTTTCTAAATTTTAACTCTACCTCTGTTCTATTTTTAAATTAGAGATGTGTGCTATTTGATTGAATTATTTGTATCAATTTAAGGAAATAAATATTTTTCTAAATTAAAAGAAAGAAAAAAGAAACACACTATACCCCCCAAAGAAGGTGCCCCCATCATGCATTGTTTCCAAAGGACTAAAGTCAAACCAAAAAATCTCTTCAGTAGAAACTGAAGGGGGTGAGCATTTTTGCAAGCCCAGCAGAACCAGTGCAATCTACAGTGCCCAGCAAACACACTGGCAATGCCAGCTGATGTCAAGCACAGAATCATAGCCTTCTGTTCATAATATTAACAAAAGTTTGCTACTATACTACTCTTAAATGCGTTCTGTCACCAAGCAGAATAGGGATGAGAAGGTCTTGAGATCAAGAAGTGAAAATAAAGGGGGAGGGGGACATGGAAAAATTAGGAGACAGAAATAAATGAGAAATGTGTGGAAAAGAGAGAAATTTTGCCTGGACAAAAGAATTTCCTTTTAATTAATTCCCCTTTCCCCTTATTGCAACACATCTCTTTCCTGCACCCCCTTTCTTTCTTTTAATGTGTGTGTGTGTGTATGTGTGTGACCAAAGACGACCCATACGAATCAGGTCTCAAAGTAAATAGCAGAGTAGTGCAATCTCAATGTAAATTGTGCTTGTCAGAAGAATCCCCCTCCCTCCTCCTTCCTTCCCATCTTAATCAGTAGGTAGCAAATAATAAAGGCAGGGGTGGAAGGAGACCTCAGCCAATGGAGGGAAGTATGTTTGGCTAACCTTAGCCACTTGGGTGCTTGGCTGCAGATCCATCTCCCGGGCAAAGTCACCCCCATCCTAGGGACTGGGGGGCTAGCATTTGTATCTCTCCCTGTGCAACTGATGCAGGCAAGAAGCAGTGGTGGCCAGATAAAAGCCAGTTGTTCACGGGCCATATAAGAGCCCTGGATGGGCCAGTTCTAACCTGTGGGCCATATGTTTGACACCCTTGCTATAGACCATCTAGTTGCTCATAGTTTAGTAATCCTCTGAATTCAGCAGGGCTATTTTTGGGCAGGAACGCACAAGAATGGAGTTCCGGCTGGCTCCCGAGTTGGCCACGCCCAGCAGGAACTCATTAGCATAATAGGCCACACCCAACAGCAAAATCTCATTAGGATTGGCTATATTAGGGGTGTGTGGCCTAACATGCAAAGGAGTTCCTGCTACAAAAAAAGCCCTGGTTGACAACAAACAAGGTAAACAGAATAAGAGGCAAAAGGTGGGTGTGGCTGGATGACCACACTTCTGGTAACATGGGGGTGTGGCCTAATGGGCTAATGAGCTGTGCTGTCAGGGGTGTGGCCTAATATGCTAATGAGTTTCTGCTGTTGGGTGTGGCCTATTATGCTAATGAGTTCCTGCTGGGCTTTTTCTACAAAAAGAGCCCTGGTTCAGTATTGTACATTTTTCTTCCAACCTACTTAAGTTTATCTCCTTTTCCTTCTGTTATTGTTACATGTTCAATAAAGATTATAACTCAGGGATTGTCTTCCTGTCTGCTACTCCAAATCCCTTCCCAGTGTATTGCATGAGTGTGTGCCTGTTCAAGTGCAGACCACAGTCCCTAGTCCTTGGGAATCTGGAAGTGGATTTGTGAAGGAATGTTCTTAAAGCCCTAAATGACCTGTTCATATGTATCCCCAGCTTTCCAGGTAACAGGGACTATTTCTGTTAAACAGAGAGCACTGTGGCTTTTATTTTTTCATGATCTAATAGAACATAAGTGCTTACACTAAACTATCAACAAGCTGTTGATGTCCCACACTTAACTTCAGATGGCAGGAATAGAAAGCTAATAATGAAATCCATACCATTCTCATGAATAAGTTGACTAAATGGATCCAGGATAAAATGCTTTTAGTAAGACCGGTACAGTGGTCGTGATACCATCTGGGAACCCAACCACATTTTAATTTAAGTCTTGTCTACAGAATAGAATCTCATTCCACTAATGGAATCTGTCTTGAAGCTGAGCTTTGTCCATGGCAGAGCTCAAAGCAACTTTATTAACTGAACCTTATTACTGAAGTTCCTGATCAGGTTTGATACTAGCATAAGTCCAGTTATATAATGGTATTTCCATTATGCGCCTAAGGAAAAAGGAGGAAAGCAACGGGGTGGAAAAAGAAGTGAACTGTGGAAAAATATTCAAGGTTAAAGTTTCTCTTCAGATCATATGTCAGTAACACATAATATCAATTTGTGAATGGCTGCTGATATTGGTAGGCAAATAAAAGAGCATCTGACTTTTTCAACCTCAGCCACTTATGGACCACATCAGCAGTATAATTATGTCCTTGTGGGGTTGGTTGCAGCTTTCTTTATTATCCATCTTGATTTCATGTTTGGTGTTGAGATGGAGAAACAGGAGAGAAAAGAGACAAAGATGGATGAGCGTTACCAAAGAGAATTGTGGATGACAGGTTTAATTTATATTTATTTATTTATAAATTCGATTTATAACCTGCCCTCCCCGCAGCGCAGGCTCAGGGCGGCTCACAATCAGGCACAAACCTCACATAAAACAATTAAAATCGTTTAAAATCAATCAACATATTTTGACATTATTAAGTGCTCTCGATGTTCAAGTTAAGTTACCATAAAGATGGCGTATTAATGCTGTTATATCCACTCAGTGCCATCTGTTCCACTTAACGCTATCGATCTTTCTTTCAGGGCCAGATAATAATGATGGTACAGTAGTGGCGGCTCCTACTCAAACGCCTGGCGGAAGAGCTCCGTCTTGCAGGCCCTGCGGAACTGTGCGAGGTCCCGCAGGGCCCGGATCTCCTCCGGGAGCTTGTTCCCGGTACGCTATCGGCAGCCAGTGCATCGCTTTCAGCACAGGTCGGATGTGGTCCCTACTAGGAAGACCCATCAGCAGCCTGGCCGCAGCATCCTGCACTAGCTGCAGCTTCCAGATTTGCGACAGAGGCAGCCCCATGTAGAGAGCGTTGCAATAGTCTAGCCTCGAGGTGACCGTTGCGTGGATCACTGTGGCCAAGTCACTGCGGTCGAGGAAGGGAACTAACTGCCGCACCAGCCAAAGATGGTAAAAAGCTGACTTGGCAGTGGCTGCCACCTGGGCCTCCATAGTCAGCGAGGAGTCCAGGAGCACTCCCAAACTCCTAACCTCCAGCCCTGGCACCAGAGGCACCCCATCGAAGGTCGGGAGAGGGAGCCCCAACCCCAGACCACCCCGACTTAGGCCCAGGACCTCCGTCTTTGCCGGGAAGGAATGGGAAGGAATGTGTTTATACTTGGCCAAAATTACTATGTTTAATCATTTAGATAAATATTCTCGATAACGAGCCTATTAAGAGCAGAAATATTATGTTTGGGAAAACTGCTGTAATCCATTCTGTGTCTTTGGGATGTGATGGATTATAACTGTGAATACAGTTTAATATGGTAATTTCAGTTTTGTATTGTGTTTAGAATTGTGCTCCCTCACTGAATAGTAAATATTTACATTGGAATGTGGATCCATAAAAGGAACTCTAGTGTTAAGGATGGAGTATGAATGATTTTTTGCTTCGTGGTTCAGTTTGTGTCCATCGCTAGTAGGAAGCCATCCTGTATGCTAGATGAAGATGGAAGAAATCATTTTGTGCACCTGAATTAACCTGCTTCTTCAACAATAATGCTGAAACTAGTATAACCACTAGAGTATTAACTGAATTGGCAAAGGTTAACTGAACCTCATCAAATATAGGAAGAATCCAAAGGTGCCTGCAGATTCAAAAAAGTCAGGGACTACTATTTGGATCTAAGGAAAGGAAGAAAATTTCATGGTACTGATGGAATGGCAAGGTTATTGCTGTGAGTGTCAGTTTGGGAGGATTTGATTGCCTTGTTACAAGGAAATCTAATTTGATAATGTGCTAGGTTTTAAAAATGGTGATTTTAAGAGGGTAACATACAAAATCGAGAGTCATGTATGTATATTCTTTATACTTTTCAGAGAGTCAGTTCAGTTGGAACTACTAATGCAGAATTACCCTTGGCTGATCCCGGAATGTACCAGTTGGACATTACATTAAAAAGCGGTCATAATTTAGCAGCTCGTGATCGAAGAGGTAAGAATATGTTGATAAATATTCGAAGACTGGGACCAGCTTTCTTTTTTATGCATTTATTTTATAGCTGCACTGAACAAGCTCTGTGCTTTTATATGATTTTAGTTTACTCCCCTTAATCATATCCTCAATTTGGCAAGAAATGCAAAGTTCTAAATATTATGATACGTTGGATATTTCGCATCTTAAGTAAGTTTCTCGTGTACTAACTTAAAATCCATGTGTGCATCTATATGTATTACATTTTGTGAACACCTAGAATCAACTGCAGAAAACTTTAGAGCTCATATGCCCAGGCCTGTAGCCAGGAGTTTCTAATTCAGGGGGCATTTGAATTCCTTGGGGGGCACTGGCTAATTTGATTAAAAGTAATTTAATTACCGACTTCTCGGTGCTCTTGGGTGTGGTGCCGCTGCCCTCCACCTGGCCATAAGCTCTGAGTGCCTTGAGCTTTGGCATCTTGTGCCTCCTCCCTGGTGCTCCCTTCCACCCACCCCAGCTGCTGGCCTGCCCGATCACCTTTCCCCAGTGCAGTAAAGATGTTCTGGAGGTTGCTACCAGGATGAGGGGAATGGCAGGGGTGGGAGTGGGAACAGAAAGCACCGGAAAGGGAGAAGGCAAGGAGAACTGGTGGCCTCAGCAGCACAGGAGGAATTAGTGGCAGCCACCACATCTTGCCAGAGAGTCGGGGGTCCTGGACTAAAAGGGATTTGGGGGGGCCTTGACAGTAAGTCGGGGGGGCCAGGCCCCAAAATGCCCCACTGTAGCTATGGGCCTGATATGCACCAAAAAGAGGATAGTTTCTCGTGTACTAACTTAAAATCCATGTGTGCATCTGTATTGATTACATTGTGCAAACACCTAGAATTCTGCAGAAAACTTTAAAACTTATATGTATCCAAAAAAGGATAGTTTGCCTAACAGTTAATCAGAAGCTGAGTAAGACAATTTCCCCCAAGCTTTTACTGTTGGTTGTTGTTGTTCAGTCGCACAGTCGAGTCCGACTCTTCGCGACCCCATGGACCAGATCCCGCCAGGCCCTCCTGTCTTCCGCCGTCCTCTGAAGTTGGCTCAATTTCATGTTCTATTAGCCATAAGGTATAGATAGTAACTTTTCTCCCTTTCTCACAATACAAGAACTTGTGGGCACTCAATGAAATTGCTGAGCAGTCGGGTTAGAACAGATAAAAGGAAGTACTTCACCCAAAGAGTGGTTAACACATGGAATTCACTGCCATAGGAGGTGGCGGCGGCTACAAGCGTGGACAGCCTCAAGAGGGAATTGCCCCCTCAGACAGAGGAAAGAGTCAGACAACAAGGTTGGATGAAATATGGCCACTTTATTAAAATATTAAAGTAACGGCAAGGGCAAACATGAAACAGCGGCACGGTCAAGGCCTGGTGTCGTTTTGACCCCATCCTTAACCGTATAAAAGGCAAGACACCAAGGCCCCGGTTTGGAGCTAACTGTAAGTCGCTTGCAAATCCAGCCAAGCCAATGATTGGGATGCACCTTCAGGAGCTCTCAAACACCACCGCACCAGCACTGATTCTCTGTCGTGGCCATCCTCATAGGCAGTCTGCAAGCCTCACCCCTGGCCACACCGCCTAGGGTTGGTCCCTCTACTGTCCCTACATTCCATCCCTTTATGTTTTAGTATGCAGGCAAAAGAGGAATTTGATCTTCAGCATCAGGCCATTCGTCCTCCGAGTCGGCTGAGTTGGCATAAGGCCAAGTCACAGCCACCTAAAGCAGGTAGGCTCGAGGCGGGGGGCGACAAAGAGAGAGAGCTGTCGGCAGGCATTGACTACACACACAAACTGGAATGCCTCCAATGAGGAGTGCAAAAATGAGCGCAAATAAAGGCCATAGCCATTGCCATGGAATCCATTGAAGCAACCAATCTAAAGACCAAGAAGAGGGGGTAGCGTCAGCTATAGCCTTAAATACCGTTAAATGCTGGCGAAGCTTGGCAATACCAGTAGTAATATTCCTGGTTTCATCTATATAATAACAACAATGTTCATGAATTAATGCACAGGTACCTCCCCACTGCGAAGCCAGGAGATCCAAAGCTCCGCGGTTTTGAAGCACCACCTGAGCCAGAGAAGAAAGCTCCTGGTTGAGTGCTATGAGGAGTTGACTAGAGAGGTTAAAGGACTGCTCAATCTCAGCGGATAGATTACCAATAGCTTGCTCTAGCTCAGAAACACCCAGGCTAGGGAGGAGAACACGCATAATTTTATGGAAACCAGGACTTCTAATGACTAAGGGGTTTTCAGATGCCCTGTGCCTCTGGACCCAATGGCCCATATTTACAGAGTCAGATGCATTGAGGGCAGTTCGGATATGGAAGGGGAGTTGAAGGTTGCCGAAGGCGCAGCGACCCTGAAATGGATAGGGAACATGTTTATAGGCGAGGGGGGAGTTACCATACACGAAGACCCACCCTGGATGAGTGAGGAAGAACCCAGGATTGGAAGCATTGTTAGCAGCATGTGAGCTCCAGGTAGCATTAAGCCAGGAATCTCTGGAATAAGAGGATGTATTACATGATAAAGCAGCAGCTACCAAGTGAAACAATCCATTATTGGAATTGGCCCGAGAGTTGTTGCGGGCAAACCAGGCCACTCTAGAAGTATTACGCTGGAGTTGCATGACAAGCACAAAGATTGAAATAGAGCAGGGATATATTGTATAAAACAACACAGGCCAATGAGACATAAAATAATCATTACAAGATATTGAACACATTTTTCAAGCCACCCCCCAGGTAGCCATGACCACAGGGTGTTCCATAGCATCTGGTGGAGGGTGTGACAGTTGTGGTCCCCACTGGCGAAAGTTCCTACCAGAGGAACAACCAGAGTCGTCACAGGTATAATTGGCATGAGGAATAGCAGACAGTTTCTTCAAAGTGTCCAAAGGGGTACACACAGGTACAGCACATGATGCAAGGAACCCATGCATAGAGGCAGATTCCTTTAGGCAAAAGGAAGACACCTTGGCTCCCCATGTGATCAGCGGAGCTCGCGGAGGGTTGGGAGGCCTCGGGATCTCAAGGGGCTGGAACGGGTGTTGCGCTTCCTGCAGGCTGACCTTGGCCATCTCTGGTAAGGGATCCTTGGCTTCTGCGTGCCACACCATGAGCTGGATGAACACACTTGGCCGGGACCAACAAAGGAGCTGCAGAGGTTAAAACAGAAGCAAACCCTCCCCCCCATGTTAGTAGTGGCACCGGGCCCAACCAGGTGCGGTCAGGCAGGGCCCGATAGAACACCAGAGGTTGTGGCAACGGAAGGGAGAGCAAAACCTTGTGGACCTGCTGCATTGTCCAGGCCTGATTTGGTATGCGACCACCTTTCTTCCCTTTTAAAAGTTTTTCTAAAATAGTTTTAAAGGAGCGATTGGCCCGCTCCACCACGGCATGTCCTGTAGAGTTGTAGGGGATCCCGTGGGAAAGAGCAATGTCCCAATGGGTGCAAAATTGCTGGAAGGCTTGGGAGGTATAGGCAGGGGCGTTATCAGTTTTCAGCCTGGCTGGGCGGCCCAGGGCTGCAAAAGAGGCAATACAGTGGGAAATAACATGACTAGTGGTTTCACCCCACAAGGGGGTAGCCCAAAGGGCACCAGAGAAAGTATCAACAGAAACATGCACATATTTCCAAGGGGCTAAGGTAGGAACATGAGTAACATCAATTTGCCAAAGTTCACAAGGACCCAAGCCACGAGGATTGACACCCCCCTCAGGGCAGTGGGAAAAGCCTGCACAATGAGCGCAGGAAGCCACAATGGCTTGGGCCTCCCCCAAGGGAATACCAAACTGTCCTACTAAGCCACGGGAGTTTTGATGAAAGAACTGATGGCTCTCCACAGGATCAGTGAAAAGGCCATGCACTGCCTGATCAGCCCTGGCATTTCCCTCCATTAAGGGGCCAGGGACGCCAGAATGGCTACGGATATGGGCTACATAGTAGGGATGCTTCCGGGCTTGCAACAGTTGTTGTAGGGTTAGAAAAAGCGCCATGAGGTTAGCATCCACTCTAGGAGCAACATAAGCTCCAGGCAAGCTAGAAATTAACTGGACTACATATTGAGTGTCAGCAATCAAATTGAAAGGAAAATTAACAAAAATCTGAAAAGCTAAAATAGCAGCAGCAAGCTCAGCTCGTTGCGGAGTTGCTTGGGGTGCAGTATATTGAGTCTGCCACACCCCGGCTTGTTGATACACAATAGCTCCACGCTGCCTCATCCCATCAGAAAAAACTGTGGGGGCAAGGGCTGTGAGCAGTCTAAGCGGTGGAGAGAGTGGGGAACGGACTGTAATAATGAAAACCCTGGGGCTCATTGCCTTGTTGTATAGCTGCTGCCAGCAAGTTTGCCTGGTAGAACTGAGTGCCCACTTCCTGGCATGCTTTAAGCATATCAGAAAGAGAGTTCTACCTGAGCCTCTTCATTATCAATTTGATGTTTTAAAGTCTCTTGTAGTCTATTAATGAACTCAAAGTAGGGCTCAGTGACTTTTTGTCTGATACTTGAAAAAGTCTGCAACGGCTTGCCAGAGGCTGGAACTCGCTGAAAAGCTCGAAAGGTACAACCAGAAGAGACTTCTAGGGTAGCTGCAGGCAGGAGTATCTGCTGGATGGCTTGAGCAAAATCCCCATGGCCATAAAGTTGTGCAGCTGTATAGGCACCATCAGAGGCTCACCCCCGGACAAGGCACTGTTGTTGGAACTCACTATCCCATACCACATATTGAGCTGGAGATAGAAGTATGCGGCATGTTATTTTCCAGTCTTCTGGAACTAGTGTGTGATTACTTATTAGAGCCTCTAACATTCCTTGGACATAGGTACTCTGTAAGCCCATGTCCCGAATTCCCTTGCGCAATTCTGTTAAAATGGGGTAAGAAAGGGGTTTGTATTCAACAATATTATTGCCAGCCGCATCTTGGTCTCCAGTGAGATGCACTGGGCACCCAGACAACATTTCAGAAATC